TGGCAGAGAGTCAGGGCGAGAAGTTTATAGGAAAAACCTAGTTCAAGTTTTGGTACAGGTTCTGAGATTCTTTAACTCGCGGGCTTGGGGACCCACTCAGTTAAAGCTGTTTGCATTCTCTGGATAAAGTCTCACTCTGCAGCTTTATATGCTCGCCTCATCTGAACTCCAGAAGAGCCCGTAAGTTAAACTGAGAGTGTCTGACTCCGTAAGGGAGAACTGCACTGGGCTTGTCTTGAACCTCCTTCCTTCTCTGGGGACCTCTGCCGGGCCCCCACATCGCAGGGGCCCAGTAAGTACATGCTGATGCCCCAGGCAGGGGCGCCTACAGACAGGCCAGAGCTGGGCCACGACCTGGGGCTCAGAGACCACTGCTCACCATTCTTGTCGCAGACATCCCCCACAACTACCAACTCTGCAGTCAGGGATTTTAGATTTGGAAATGTGTGGTTTTTCTTTTTTCTTTTTTTTTTTTTTTAAAGATTTTTTTTTTCATTTATTTATTTGAGAGAGAGAGAATGAGAGAGAGCAAGCACATGAGGGGGGGAGGGTCAGAGGGAGAAGCAGACTCCCTGCCGAGCAGGGAGCCCGATGCGGGACTCGATCCCGGGACTCCAGGATCATGACCTGAGCCGAAGGCAGTCGCTTAACCAACTGAGCCACCCAGGCGCCCTGGAAATGTGTGGTTTTTCTTCTTGTTGTTGACCATACAAGCCAATGTGACTATTTTTACTCGTTGGCTATACGCCCCCATACCTAAAATCTCAGATGACAATGAATCCGTCACCCTGCACATGATCTCTTGACACGAACGAAGGAGATGAGTGGTGACACAGCAGTGAACTTGTCACATTCAAGAAAGACCCCTAGAAGCCGTACTTTCTGAACAAAAAGTTCAAACACAGCATCTGAGACGTGGTCTGAGATAGAACAGAATAAACAAAACCTGCAGACACCGCAACTACAGAATCTGTCCACAAGCCTGTGAAGATTTCTTTTCTCCACCAAGGAAGGGAAAACAGGCCATGGCACTGGTCCACCCCGCTCCCTGCGTCCTCATCTGCCTTCCCTGCAACCACCGTGGGCCCCACGGCCCTGGTGCAGCTCTGAGGGGCTCTGCGGGCAGCCAGGGGTCTCTGCACAGGCGGGGGGAAGACGACTGGACTGCCCCCCGTGGCTCAGCTATGACCCTTCCCCTCCCACCACACTGACCTCAGGGGGGACAGCATGTCACCCCTGAGCATATGGGTTTTCACATCTTCAAGTTCGTGATGGGAAAAGCAATCTCCTCCCATGACAGCTCTAAAAGGAACCTGACTCTCAATTTAGAGAAATGATTTAGAAAGACGTGTCTGACAGGAAGGGGAGTGGGTCGCCTGCCCATGCATAAGGTCTCCTCTGGCTCATGCCCGAACCTCTGGGAGCTGGCATACACTCAGAGGACTGACCGCTGAGCCTTCTTCCAGACCTGGATTCCCAAGACCCTCATGGCTCGCCGGTGAAGAGACGGTAGAACCATGCCTGCCGTCCGGGTGGTGTCTCCTTAACAGGCATCAAGCTGAGTCCCCATCAGGGCCGAGCCTCTGGGAATGGCGGCCACACCAAGCTGCCCGTGAACGCAGGAGATGTGTCAGTTAGTAGAAAATCGTCTGTGATCTTGCTGGTGGGCGTGTCCCAGGCAAGAGTTTTATGGGAAGAAAACACTGGAGAAAACTTAGGACCAACCTGCCCGTTTGAGAACACTGATGGGCATCAGAGGCCCACTTCCAGCACTTTCCTCCACCACCCTGGCCCGAGGTCTCCGTGCTCCAGCCCTGCAACCTTCTCCCTCCACTCATGTTCCGTTATTCCATGGCTCTCTGTTCACGGCTCCCGGCTAACGTCATCTAGCACGACGGACCTGCTCTGCCCCAGGGCTGCTCTCCGCAAATCAACCGCTCTTCCCAGCAGCCCTCAGGGTGCCGCTGCAGAGGCGAGGCAGCCGCCCAGGCGCCGCTGGTGTGAAGCCCCCCACCCCCGACAGCCGGCCCTGCGGCCCATCTTCACCCCTCCAGGCTGAGGAGCAAATGGGGACCGAAGCTTTGCCAGAGCAGCAGACCTTCCGGGTGCTTCTGTGCAGGACGGCGGGGCTCTTGATGGTCCACGCACAAGCTGGATGAGGACAGTGGTGTCACTGTCTCCAGCCCACAGCTCAGCCTCCACAGGAGCCCGCCTCTCCAAAGCCAGTCTGGTCACTCAGATGTCCTTCCACAGGACTACACCCCAAACACGAGGGTGTCTGTAAGAGAGGCGCACCCGGAGAGCCACGTGCTCTTACGCGTTTCTTGATCAGACGTACAATGCGGGTTCTCCTTTGCTGAGACAAACGTCTCCCTTGGCTGCAAATTCACCTTCCGCGTGCTAGCTCTTCTGAACTCGAAACACCTCTAAAATCACTCTTGGAGGACAGGGATGGCCGTCCTGACCTTCAGCCAGTCTTGGAGGGTCCATCCAGGGTGTGAAGAGGGGGAGAAGGTAAACAGCAGAGGATGAGGCGGCGCTCTGTCCGTCAGAAAGCATAAGAGACAGAAGAGTGCAAAGCTAAGCCCCACGGGGAGGACGTGTGTCAGTGAGGAGATCACCCGGGACATGGGTCCCACTCCTTCTCCTTCTTAGGGGACAAACAGATACAGACGTCCTTTTTAGGACTGGCATCAGACTCTTGTCAATTAATAGCTGATCTATTAAGGCTTAAGCTGAGATCTGGTGAAGTCTTGCCCTAGAGAATCCCAAATTATCAATTAATCTGATAACAGAGGCAGAAATCTCAATCTCTCTCTATAGAGGGAGGGAGCATAATCTCGTAGTGACAAAGAGTAAGAATTATTGACACAAAGCCAGGTTATCCGCATCATATACCTTTCATCCAATTGAGGCAGCAAAAGAAAAAGGGAAATGAGCCACGATAACGATTTTTTTCTCTGACCCACGCTTGTAGCAAACATTCAAGTCCCAAAGGTCTGGCCCAGGGGAGCTCTACAGGAAAGTAAACTCTGAAGGCAAAGAAAAACCCGCCCCTAACAGGGGCCTCGTTTTCTCGGAACAGGGTAAGAGAAAATGCTAACGCAACAGGCCTTTCACACAACGTGGTCACTTTCCTCGGAGAGTCACCCTGAGGCAGAGGACGGTCACGCGGACTGCCCTGCTCTGAATGCACCATGCTCTGTTGTTCCCGGGGACACAAGGGTGCCACTTGGAAGAGACTTTCAAATGATGAGAACCCCTTTCCTGGGCCTGTTGTGGTGCATCCACCCTGCCTCGTGCTGCCGCTGAGACCCAGGACCCCAGAAGGAAGAGTGGCAGCGGTGTCTCCTTGTGAGCAACCTCACCGCATGCTGGGCACGAGCCCCTGCATCTCGGGCCCGCGTACCCCTGACGCCCTGGCGGCCGGAAACAAGGCTCCCAAAGCAACTGTGCACGGCACACACACGTGCACATGCACACAAGATACAGATGAATACAGACAACACACATGTGCACACGCACAACACACAGATGAATGCACACAACACACATGCACACATAGATATACAGATGAATACAGACAACACACACACGCACACACAACACATACACACCATACACAGAGACATCAACACACATATGCACACACAACGCAGCAATGTTTCCCAAGGGAGGGAAAAATCCACAAAAGGGCTTTGGACACGTGAGAATAAGGAATGGGTGTCAGAACTGTTTGCTGCACAAGGGAACTGAGGAGGTGTCTCGGCTTTGCTTCAACGGTGCGAGCTGTGTCCTCAGCAGGGTATACTGTTCAAGTCCCACGCACGCTTCTCTGTAAGGCGTGATTCTAAAGACACACACCCACTGGGAGTTCCCGCTCCAAAAAAAGGAGCCTGACAACAGACATGAATACATGGAGCCCACCATCCAGGCAAAGAGGTCAGAAATGGGAGGACACGTCTCAACAAAAAGTACTTGAGAAAACGGAGTCGGTATTTTGGTGCGGGCTTGAAGTGTCAGCTGCTGAGGACTTCTCTAAAAACACACATAAAAACACCATCGACAGCTCAAGAGTCTTACGGCTAAAGCTGGCTTTGATAGTGGTCTGAGCTCAAAATTAAGTATTTTCCGCCCCATTGCGGGATACAGCTCCAGCTGCCTGATGCAGTTTGCTATCTGCTGATGGATTCCGCCGGGAGGTGCGCGCGCAGAAAGACGGCGTGCGGACCCAGCATGAGGAATGGAGCGGCCCTTTCCACCCCGTGCGTAATGCCTGGGATGTGGGCAGCTTCCGGCTACTGAGGAAGACCCGCCTGGACAATGAACACTATAACGCAACGGCGGAACCCCACACATCTGCACACTCACGCACGCACATGCACGTGCACAGCCAGATACGCTTTCTCTTTTGAAACACGGCTTCCATTCCTTCAGGAAAACGCGGCATTTTTACAGAGCATAGTGTCAAAAGCCAGTCGTTAGGGTGATGACCTGAAAGTGGGGCTGACCACGTGCCCCCTGCTGGGTACACGCTGTGGGAACGAGGCCCCTCGATATGTGCAGATCCGAAAGAAGAGAAGAAGGAGCATCCTATTCCTATGCGCACGTCTCCCCCTCTGAAGGAGGACTCGTGTCCCGGTACCTGGACTGCTTTGCTGTGAGGCAGACAAAACCGCTGGAGCCCCAGGAGGCAGGGAGGCAGCACAGACGCAGACCCCAGTCCCCCACGCCCCAGGGGCCGCTGTGTCCACGCACCCCGCAGTCTGGGCCGCAGGTGCAGCCAGGAGGGGTTTGTTCTGTGGAGAATCACCCTCGAGCTCAGGCTCCTGGGTCACAGCACCGGGTGACAGACGGCTGGCTCCCGGCTGCCCTCCTGCCCCCACGACACCAGGAACACCTCCTCCTGTGTCTCCGGGTTAAGACAGGCAAGAATGAAAGCGGCCCCCCTCCACCTACCCGACAGGCACCAGGAGAGAAAAACCAGAGCCTCTACTTACTCATCTCCGGTCACGATGTAGCCTTCCTCCTCCTGGGAAGGCCTGACCTCCAGCCGCAGGCCTTCACTGGGGCGCCCCTGGGCTCCAGCTCCAAGGCGGGCATCTTCCTGCGAGGGCCCTGGAACCCAGGTCTGGAACTCGCCAAAGCCGCCCGCCCTGGGCTCTGAGGGAGGCAGCCCCTCCAACCGCTCCTTGGAGTAGGTCTGACTCCTCACGTCCTCCACCCCAGCGCTCTCCTCCTCCCGAGCCGGGGGCATCCTGGGCGTCTCTGATTTCTTCATCTCCGTTTTGAAGGGCTCCATAAGAAGGGGGGTGGCAGGAAAGAGTCGGGACCCAGGAGCCTGCAGGTGGTCCCCGAGTTGGAGGCTCAAACGACTGACCTGGCAGAAAAGAGCTCAGTGAGGTGACGTTCAGGAGGAGTCGGTGGGCAGCCCCTGGCAGGGGATAGAGTACGGCACTCATGGCCACATTCAGAATCCCATCGGGATGGGACATGTTCCGCCCAGGGGAGGACGAGGGCCTCACACACCAGCATCACTCAGCCAAGCATGTCTCTGTCTCTGTCTCATACACATACAACTTCCTGAAGAATCTGATTTTATAAACTCAGTGTAGGTGTTTCCCATCTATATTTTTTTATTTTTTTAAAGATTTTATTTATTTATTTGAGAGAAAGAGAGAGAGAGCAAGAGAGAGCACAAGAGGGGAGGAGAGGGAGAAGCAGGCTCCCTGCCGAGCAAAGAGCCAGATGCGGGGCTTGATCCCAGGACCCTGGGATCCTGACCTAGGCCGAAGGCAGCAGCTTAACCAACTGAGCCACCCAGGCGCCCCCCCATCTATATTTTCAAAAAGAGCCCATGTGGGGGGTGCCTGGGGGGCTCAGTTGGTTGAGCGCCCGACTCTTGATTTTGGCTCAGGCCATGATCTCAGGGTTGTGAGATCGAGCCCTGGGGCGGGCTCTGTCCTCAGCAGGGAGTCTGCTTGAGATTCTCTCCCTCCCCCTCTACCCCTCCCCCCTGCTTGTGCGTGCACTCTCTCATAAATAAAATCTTTAAAAACAAACAAACAAAACAAAAACAAAAGCAATAACAGCCTATGTGGATTCTGAGACCCCCTCCAGAAACAATGAGGGCCTGACGATAACCGTCCTACTTGCATTTACTGAGCTCTGACAGGGCCCGAGGGCTCTGTAGCAGACGCCCGACCTGCACGGACTCTCCTCACGACGCCCTGTGCGTCAGGAGCTCTCACCCTGCCCCCAGTCCCTCAGGGAAGTGGAGAGGCCAGGAGTGAGCAGACACGGGGACACGCACCTGCAGCCTCACAGCACCTAGGGGTCTGGGGTCCTCATAGCCGAGGCTTGCCCATCCTGACCCTGTCTCCTGGACAAGAGGGCCCTCAGAGCTACTTAATTGACATCTCGACAGATGAACATTATCTTACACACTCAGCACTGATTATCTGCCAGGCCCTGTGCTCAGCGCTCTGCGCGCGCTCTCACTTAATTGCCACCTCAACCCGGGAGTGCAGTCCTAGTTTTATCTCTGGTCTGTAGGCTCTGGGGCTTACAGAGGTTAATAACGTGCCCGAGATCACTGACGGCAGATCCAGAATCTGAGTGCCATTCCCGCTGATGCCAGAGAGGCTGCCACTGGGCCACACCGCCTCTGGAGACCCCAGCATTGCCTCCAAGGGAAGCCCCTGGTCCCTCCCCTGCTTGCTGCTGGTGCCCAAGAAGGGGGGGCACGCCCAGGGCGCCTCCTACCGCGCAAGAGCAAGGGATTTCCCGTTTCACCATGAAATTACATCTCCAATATTACACTAGATGGCAAGACCAAGAGTGGATTTACTTCACGGTATCAAACACAAGATTTATAGGAAACTAAGGAAGGACTATAAAGGAAAATAATTATTCCCTTGTTGACTAGAAATTGTATGTGATTTTTCCTTGTGTGTTTTGAAATATTTAAAGAAACTGGTATCTTGATAAAAACACTTGCTCAGATTTGGATCCCGAGTGGTGATAGTACATGGCATTTCAGTTACCACGTACGGATGGAGCCCTGTCCTCAGGCTTTTAAAGGAAAGAGAATGGTGTTTTCACTTGAACTGTGCTCCATGAGAGGAGGAAACAAAAGATGTTAACAAATAAGGGCTCAGAAAATACAATACTCAGATGCCTTTTGGAAAAAATTGTTTGAGGGGCGCCTGGGTGGCTCAGTCATTAAGCGTCTGACTTCGGCTCAGGTCACGATCCCAGGGTCCTGGGATCCAGTCCCACATTGGGCTCCCTGCTCTGCGGGAAGCCTGCTTCTCCCTCTCACTCTCCCTCTGTGCTCTCTGTCTCTCTCTCAAATAAATAAATAAAATCTTTAAAAAAAAAAAAGAAAAAAATTGCTTGAAAATGTACCCCAAGTAACAGAGAAATGAATCAAAATTCAACTTGTTTAGGATGGAAAGGTGGGAGTATGAGAACCCTGGGGGTCTTCAGAGAACCCACGTGGGTTGGAGTGTGTGCCCCTGGAGACCCCACAGCCCTGGCTCTGGCTGTCGGCGTCCCTCCACTTTCTGAGACGTGTTCTTAGTGCCACGTCTCCCTCCTCATCTGAGACAGAGTACCCCCCCATTTCTGATGGGCAATTAAGAGAATTGTTAATGTTTTCTTTTGCTACTTGCTAACAGGCATTGAACCACAAGCCACTAAGATAATCCGGAAAGAGAAGTACTAACCAAAAAAACTTTTTTCCACTCCACAGAAAAAGGGTTTTGTAGAACCACATAATGCCACCGTCACTGCTTACGCACTGATTTTCTGCATCCTTAAGATCTGTACTAATGAGCAAAGGCCCTTAAACAGGAAAAGCCAGCAAACCAGTCCGTGAGGCGTGTGACCTGAGACGGAGCCCTTTTCCACACTGCCTTCCCGACCAGCGCCGTCCAACAGACCCTCCAGCAATGATGGAGACGTTCTCCATCTGTACCATCCAACCCACATATTACAAAGGAAAACTTGAAATGTGGCTGGTGCAACTGAGGAAGTGAAATTTTATCTGCTTAATTTTAATGAATATAAATGTGGCCAGTGGCTACATGAGAAGTGCGGGTCTGAATGACCCAGCGCCTGTGAAGGTCTGTGCTAAATGAACCTCAGGAATCACACACAGGATGATCTCAAGGACATACACCAGTCCATATCCCAGGTAGGAAAATTCTAAGGAATATTAATTTTTTAATTTGTATTAACCATATTTTCCATATTTCTACAATGGGTATTCTTATATAATCTGAAAGTAGACATTAGTATATATCTAAATAGACACCATTTTTTATGCTCTCTTTATACTTTTTCCCAATTTGGGGATTATCAGAGTTTTTCCAAACTTTTCTGAAAAAACAAACAAGCCAACAAACCTTTGTATTTTGTCTATGTTCCCAAACCATGAACAGAAAGATGACCGGGACAGCTCTAGATCTAAGGGGAACCAGACCCGCAGAGACGCCTCACCGTACCTCCTTGTAAACGCCACCTTCACCGTCTGGTCCCCGGTCATCTGTGAAAGACACAAGCATGATCAGAACCCTCGTTGAGACCCTCCTCATAGGCGCTGCAGCACCCAAAACACCAGAGAGTCCTTGACAGAAGGTCAGGCAGTCAGGATGATGCGGCCTAGTTTCTTCTAAAAAGTAAACCTTTTTGTTTATAGTACAATATTAGCGTTCTGTAAACGTCATGGAAGAGGAGGGGTGTCCCCGCTGAAGCCAGAGGTGAGTTCAGTCATGAACGGCATCACCAGCCCCAGGGGTCCGTGTGCTGTGCTCAGAGTTAGCTCACAGCAAGATCAACCCACGGTGCCGACAGCAGGTCCTGGCGACAGAAAACAAAGGAAGGCGTCTCCACCAAACCACCTCAAGGTCAGATGTCCTCAGAGTGCACTACCTTTCTAATTATCCGACCAGCAGCGCCCGACAGTGCAGAACTCGTGTACTCAGGAAGCCCAAATGCCCAGGCACCTTCTAGACCCCCTCACGCTCAGGGGGGCACCCATCTTCTCATTCACTGATGGCCCAACACAAAACCTCGTCCTGCTGGGCTCTGGGAGCCTCTTCTACATCCCGCCCTGCTTCCAGCTTCCAAGCAAGCCTCGGTCCCAGCCCGCGCATCTTCTCACTTGTGTTCTGGGCACATACTTTTGGTGTGCCTACTGTGTGCAAGGCACTGAATCAGATGCTTTCATGCAGTTGCAGCGACTCTGAGAAGCAATCAGGCACAGATAAGGCCGTTCATCAGGGAAGCTGCTGTGTGTGCGTGTGCGTGCACACGCGTGCACACGCGTGCACACACACACTGGGGGGTGGGGGGAATCTCTGCTCTCTCCCTGCAGCAGCCTCAGAGGGTGGATGTGAGCCTCGAGCAGACATTCGAATGAAGCCTTTTCACTGTACTATTCAAATATTTGACTCCATTCACTTGCACAATCCAAACAAAAACACTTTTTATCACTCCTGTTTTTTTCTAACTCCGAACCTCAGCACAAAGAGCAATTTGCCTTTCAACATAATTGCTCTGGTAGGCTCAGCCTGTGAAGAAGGCTTTTAGAGGCAAAAGTTCAAACAGACAAAACCGTTCCTACAAATACGCGTCTCCTCAGCAGAAGGAACGCTTAACAGCCTGCTGGGCCGGGCCTCTGCACAGCTGCAGCCTCTTCACGCCCCACGAGCCCCACACGTACGTGACCCCGGGGCTGGGAGGCTCACCTGCCGTGCCGTCTCCGCCCTGCTTGCCAGCACCGGCCTCTCGTGGCTTTCCTGCGGCTCCTTTCAGCTCCCCTTCTGCATCCACACCCCGCACGGAGGTAGCAATCACGTGGGCCATCTCGCCGAGGCCCAGGGGGCTCAGACCCTCCACAGGCTGCTTTCCCAGGTCCTTCAGGAGACTCCGGATAAGTGCTTCTGGGGTGCACACACAAAGGCAAGCACAGAGGACACCAAGGAGGAGTGGTCAGCACTGGAACGAGGAGGTATACGAGCGATCCCAAACAGGGGCACCGTGGGCACCCAGAAGCTCAGCAGAGAAATGGGATTTAATGAGGAGCAGCAGAAGTTCAGTAAATGAAGAGCACAACATTTGTAATTTAAAAACTTACTGGATGAGCCTGGCAGCAGATTGGGCAATGGAGAGCAATGGGTTAGTGAATTTCAAGATAGGTAACAGAAACTATTATTATCTTAAGAACAGGTGAAAAGGGGGGCCCTGGGTGGCTTAGTCAGTTGGGTGTCTGCCTTCGGCTCAGGTCATGATCTCAGGGTCCTGGGATCGAGCCCCACATCGGGCTCCCCGCTCGGCGGGAAGCCTGCTTCTCCCTCTGCTCCTACCCCCACTTGTGCTTTCTCTCTCTCTCTCAAATAAATAAATGAAATCTTTATTAAAAAATTTTTATAAAGATTTGAGATGGACTGAGCAGAAACTCGGTAACCTGCAGAACCACCCCAGGCATAACAGACTCCAAGTGGAGAGCAAGAAGGAAAAGGAAGAGAGAATGGGACCAAAAAACTAAAGGGAAACAAAAAAACCTCCAGAAATTCCCCCAAATTGCATTAACTTCGAAAAGTCAAGGCACCAAACCCCAAGAAGAACAAACACAAGGAGAACCACGCAGTGCCATCTCTTAGGAAGGTGAAGGTAACGCAGACCCCTAACCGCAGCCAGAGGCTAAGACACGCGTGAGGCGTGACGGACACAGGCAGTGGGCTGACCTCAAGCAGAAGAGGGCACGGGACTCACCGCGTGTCTTCTGAGAATGAGGTCTTTGACAGAATTTGTAATTATCGATTTGATAACACATATATGAATGACATATGTGAAGCGTTAAAAGAAAAAACATTTAATTTGGAAGTCTACGTCCAGTGAAAACATCCTTCTAGCCTGAAGGTGAGGGAAAGACATGTCCGTATTATAAAGGGGGCTAAGCTCATCGGCAGCCAGCGGACCCGCGTAAGACACACCGGGAGGGTGACACCGGCTGGAAACACAGGCTGTAGGAAGTGCTGAAAAGCTCCCAGAGGGTGACTGTGCGGGTGCACCCGGACAACGGTCTCTCTCCTCCTCTTAGTGCCGCTAAAGGGCAGCTGACCGTTCGACGGGAAGAAGTCACCGCATTTAATGCACGTCGAGGTAAACGGCTGGCACGGGAGGGTCACCAGCATGGGCTGGAGGGTTTATCTGCATTTTACGTGAGGTGTGTGCGGATCACTCCAAGTAGACTTAGTGCTGGGACCCGGCCTGGGGTGACGGGGATGTCCAATGGCGTGTCGGTTACGTGTACACGTCCACACTCACTTGTATACTTGGCGTCCATGCATCTCATGACAAACAGATCTCTCTCAGCAACAGGAATGTTTGATGGAGTCTTGTTGCTGACGTGGAGGGTGCCCCCACTTCTTTTTCCTGGGTATCGAAGGTGTCTGGTTCCTAAGTGGAGGTTTATGCAAGGTGGGTATCCTCGTGACTGCTCCCTGAGACCTGGACCAGTGAGAGTTCACACTCTGCCCACGGCCTCACTCAGGCAAGCCTTGAACTGAGTGGGGGAGGGGGATTATTTTCTGCTTCTTGCAAATTAAGAAATTTGGGCTTTTCACATTTTTTAACGTCTCCATCTTTGGGAGCTCTTGCTCACCAACAGGCATGAGAAGCTCTCAACACTCACGATTCAGCAGGCCCTACGCAGGTGCACAGAGAGCGCGGGTCAAGCCGCTCCATGCTGTTAGCCAGGACCCAGCAGGGGAAGGCCCAGACTCCCCGAAACAGCTTCACCAAACTTACCACTCATCTGAGGTAGTAATGTCTGTGCCGCGTGGCTGCGGCTGGAAAGCTACGTGCGGAAGCCCCCGGAACACTGTGCAGAGTGCACCCACCACCGGGCTCCACCTCTGAGTCATGCTGACGGAGCAGGACGGCCTCGCCTGGTCAAAGCGAGTTTTGTTCATAATAAAAGCCTGACGGGAGAGTTCAGAGCGATCCAGACTTACTGACTTTAAAGAGAAGCAGGTCGAGCCTCCTGTGAATTCCTCGAGTGGAAGAAAACGTACAGTCACGCTCACCTGTCCACCAAAGCTCACTCTTTCAGGGGAGTCTTGCTCCACTGTCCTAAGGAAACTCATTTCTGAACATTGTGTGCCACGCCCCAGGCTCTCCCACAGTCTCCTCCTTGCCAGGGAAGAGTCGCTGCCGTAATTCTTTTTTTTTTTTTTTAAAGATTTTATTTATTTGACAGAGAGAGAGATAGCGAGAGCAGGAACACAAGCAGGGGGAGCGTGAGAGGGGAAGCAGGCTTCCCGCTGAGCAGGGAGCCCGAGGCGGGGCTCGATCCCAGGACCCTGGGATCATGACCTGAGCCGAAGGCAGACGCTTAACGACTGAGCCACCCAGGTGCCCTCGCTGCCGTAATTCTGATTTTGCTGCGTGAAGACACTTTCTGTCAATCTTTACTCAAGACTTCCTGTTGACGACCGAGGTCCCTTCTGGATCGACAACCCTTGGAGTCTCCATGGTACTTGTTCTGGAAACACAGCTGGAGGTGGAATTGGCACGATCGTCAGATGGGGTCCTTGAAAGTGGGGGGGACACTGAGCGTGTGGCATACGCCGTCGACCCTCGCGGTCAGGACCGGACCTTACGGTCCTGCAGCAAAGCCCCGGTGAGGCCGACACTGAAGCCTGACAGCACCAACACAGGGCGGGGACGTCCCTGCACCACCCAGCCTCGGCTTCTCTATCAACCAGCTGTTCCTCATGCTCCGGCGTGTGGCCTCACTGACCCTGGGGACACTGAGCTTCCCAGGAGTACCCACATCCTAGACACAGCAAACGCTGCTTTTCACATGCCAGCCAACCAATCCAGAGCCCACCGCTTGTCACGGCTTCTACCGGGCCCCCACACAGCAGGCCACCATCCGCCGGCCCTAATCGCCCCAGGGCCTTGCCCCAGAGCCGCTGGAATTATGCCCGCTCACTAGCCCCTCGCCCGCTGGGCCCGCCTCACCTGCTCCTTCCTGAAGGGTCCCCTCTGTCCGCCTCACCACCAACCCGGTGCTTCCCTGTCTGGCCCTGGGCGTGGTCTCCTCCCGGGAACTGTCTTCAGCAGTCTGGCCAAACCGGACTAAGAACAAAGCCTGCATCTGAAACCACTTGCTGCCACAGGGAATGCAGACCGAAGCCTGTTCCGCGGCTGTCTCCCCTCCGTCCCCAGAGCCTCTCACGGTCCCAAATGTTCAGTGACTGAACGCCTGACTTCAGGAACAAGTTCCAGCACTAATTTCACTTCCTTATAAACAAAACATACCTAAAAATACAGAAAAGCTTGCCCGATGCAGAAGTGACAGGAAGCTGAAGACTTGAGCAATCCCACACAAACAGCAGCTGATGCTGGGCTGACAGAAGGTACGGGCTGTGTCACGGGAAAGATAAAGATGCGCTCTGGGATTGCAGGTGCACACCTGTCACGGCGACTGGGCTGTTCTGAAGAAATGTACAGTTCACTGCAGCTTTCAGAGGCAGAAGGAACTGTCCCGAGCCTGTAACTGAGTCAGCGAGCAGCAAGCTGAGTACAGCTTTTCGTCTTGATTCCCACCAAACACCTTTCTCTTCTGATGCTTATCTTAGCAAGGTCTTGTGTCACCAGCCACTCCCATGGACCCCACGCTGACCACAAAGCTCTCATTCCTCTCAGGAAACAGATGGCACTGGGGGCTTCCGATTCGGAGTGCCTGCTGCACCCCGGAAAAGAAGATGTACAGGAAACGCCCCAGAGGCATGCCAAGCCTTCCTCCTCTTGACAGGGCAGGGCCCCCTGCCCTCACACCAATACCGACGCGGAGCATCTGCTCTGAAAAGGCCCTTTCAGAAAAAGTCCACAGTGACCCGCGCTTGCCAAATCCACTCCAGCAAGTCTCCCCTTTCATCACAGTGACAAAGAGAAACAATCCCAACAGAAATCGCGTCACAAAACACCCCCCCCCCACACTCACCACATGCAGACCTGACCATCCATGCGACACAAGGACAGAGGGACACAAGGAACAAGGTGTTACAGGACCGGTGGGACAGCGGCTGGCCCAAAGGGAGGAAACAGTGAGCAGAGACCTCACCCACTGAGGCAGACAGGAGGACGGTGCCAGGCCATGTCTGCTCTCTGTGCAGACCCGTTAGCGCAGGCACTGCCTGGCATCAGCCATGAACCCCACTGCTATGGGCAGTGGCTTCTTGTCCACTTTCTCAAGCCAGATGATGCTAGAATCCACAGGGGCTTTCTCCTTTATTGGCTATCGTTGTGTCTGAGACTTTGGTTTCTAAGGACACATTTAAGATTCTCATCAGTCGCTGTGTCAGTCGAGCTGGCAAGCTGAATTCGCATGAAGAAAAGTTGACTTCTTTCCAGCGGGGCATGCCCTGCTGCCACTTAGGAGAAAGAGCACCACGCTGCATCCCAAACGTTGCTTCAGGAAGCTGAGGGTTGAAGGGCCTGCAAGCACACACCTGGGGCCCACACAGTTATGGACTCATCTCCCCACTAATACTGCCGGTGTGTGGTCTTGGGCAAGCCCCTTAATCTCACTGGTGCTCAATTCCCTTACGTGTCATGGGGACAAGTGAGACAGGCATGTGAATCACTTATCCAGTGGCAGGCATACCGTAAGTGCTTAACAACTGTGACTATTATCATGATGATGAGGTGATGGTCAGCAATCATTTGCCCTCCATCGTTTGTCATCCCTTACAGTCCACCGTAAATACACAGGCTTGGATTTCCATGGTGAGTTCTGGCTATAGTTCAGCGTAATCCATAAGCAAAGAGCAGAGAACATGCCACCTGTCCGTCAGGATGCTTAATTGTGCCAGGTGACTACTGCCTCCCAGTTTGTTCAACATTCAATTTAAGATTATGCTTTCTGAGA